AATCAGTTTTTATATATTTTAGTCAGTATTCTGCTTTTTAAGATCGGGAGTTCATGTCTGTTCCTTGTTACTTCTTCATGGCTGGAAGCCTAGTTGTTTTTTTTTTAAAGCTGCAAATACTGATACTACTGCTAGGTTCTGTGCTCCTGAAGGAAAGATACCTGACCATCTTTCTACCTGTAACACATAGAAAGGATTAAATATTTGTTAATAGTGCTCTTTGATTAGGAAAGGCACTAATATTTCCTGTGGTGAAAGCTTTTATTCATATTCTTATCATACTTTGAATTTAATAAATTTCTCATGGGTAGTTGTGATCTGCTTTAAAAGATCATTCATTAGAATTTTAAAAATCATTATTGTGAGAGAGTTCTATACCATGGCAAGAAAGGACCAAAATTTAATTTGCCTAGAATTAACATTCCCTTCTCACAGTAGCATTCAACTATGTCTAAGTGATTCTGACCTTAGTTATCCAATTTATAGAATTACTTAAATGTCTTTTGTCTTCCTTCTTCTTTTATATTCCCTGCTTTTGTCTCATTTACTTTTTTTCTGCTCACATTTCTATTAGGGAGTGTAATGAGGGGGAGACAGGGAGAGCTAGCACACATGCAAATGAAACTTAAGAATTTGGCTTTTGATTCAGTTTTTTTTTTTAAAGATTTTATTTATTTATTTGACAGAGAGAGACACAGAGAGAGAGGGAACACAAGCAGGGGGAGTGGGAGAGGGAGAAGCAGGCTCCCGGCAGAGCAGGGAGCCCGATGCCGGGCTCGATCCCAGGACCCTGGGATCATGACCTGAGCCGAAGGCAGACGCTTAATGACTGAGCCACCCAGGCGCCCCTGATTCAGTTTTAATAATGTTTAGAGGTTGTCAAAAATAATGTCAAAATCTGGTTTTAGATTTCCTTGGTTGCTCGAAATAGAAACTTTTCTTTTGGTATCTGCTACACAGGTGTCTAGCTGGCTCTCATTCTTTTACCTGGTACTGATATTAAAATACACAAGAAATTTGAATAATCTTATTGGTCTGTCATAGTTGGAACATGAATATGCTAGGGAAAGGACAATGGGTAAATAAGGTGACATTCTTTGTTGCCAGGAATCACTGGGTTCTGTACTAATTAGCCTTGAAAAATGTGGAGTTATTTGACAGACCAGATGTTTTCAGCATGCAGCCATGTGTCTCATCAGTGCATGTGCCTTGTGTCCGCAGGCAACGTTGTTAGATTTTTCTCATTCTATAAACAATGTTCCAAAATATAACTAAACCCCAAAGTGTGTTTATCTTTTTGGCTTAATTTCTGGCTTTCTATCCATTCTAAGGTTTCTCTCTAGAGGAACTGCATTTTATTGCACATAGCTCTTCATACCTAATTGTAGTATAAACACCATTCTGTTTACACTAAACCATGTGAATTATACTGTTTTTGAGTCTGTAAAATTGTAATAAAAGCAACCAATTCACATTAACTGTATTTGTACTTTTATTTCTAAATGTAGGGGAAATAAATCTTCCTCCCTTCCATTTATTTGGACTAAGATTTTGATTTTTGGAACATCTGAGGTAAAGACATTAAAAAAAAAAAAGTAAAACCAATCTCTAGTCTTTCGTGTTTGTGGTACTAAGTACATTGGAGCAAGAAGAGCTTAAGTGTCTACTGTGAAATTCATTCTTAAAATCAAAAGAGAGCTATCACTTTTTTATTTATAAGATTAGAACTGAGTTTTTCCTATACTAAATATATCATGGGAAGTATGGAAATTAGGAAACTAAAAACTAAAAACATAAAGAAAATTATCACCCATAATGTTAATACCCAAAGGAAGAAAAAATCATGGTTAACATTTTTGTATACATTTTTCTAGTCATTTTCTGTGTACTTATATATGTGTGTATGCATGTATTTAGTGATATATAGCTCATACATGCACATATATTCATAATTTATACATGTATGCATATTTATAGTTTTGAAAAATGTTACAATTATACTTGTAAGTTTTATTTTTTGCATTAGCTTTCACTCAACAATATTGTAAACATTTTGCTGTCTTTTACTACATGGATGTATCATGATGTACTTAACCAATTCCTTGTTATTAGTCATCTAGATTAGTTTTTTATGGACTAATAGAAATACCTACAATTCAAGAGGCTTACATACTTTTGTTAATCTAATATTTCTTTTTGGAAATGCAGCTGGTTAGAATGCTTATTTTGGTAAAATTCTTCGGTGAAAACTTACATCATTAATACAAATTTGTTTACCAGCAGGCAGTGAATTCTCATTTATTGAAACCCCTGATAATAATACCCCTTATCTTTTAAGAAATCTCTGGGAGTTTGAGTGACAAAATCATGTTTCGATTTGCATTTTTTTACATATCTGTTCAATCCCCCCCCCCATATATTGGCCTTTTTTATTTTCTTTTGTGATTTTTCTTTGTTCATTGCTTTTTTAAAAAAAAAAAAACTTAAGTTTTTATGTTGTAAATAATCTTTACCAAGTTTTTGTTTCTTCTTTATTATTATATTTTTTTAATGTATAACTTATTTTGTTTTTACTTTGTCAACCTTACCAATTTTAGTTTTATTCGTTCTCTTATGCTTATGGAAGCTTTCCTACCTATCAGATAAATATTGTCCCCTTTACTATTCCATTACCAGCAATATTTACTTTGGAATAACCAACAGTATTTCTTTTCTTAAAATCTATTATATCTGATATTAATATAGCCACTCCAGCATTTTTTTTTTAAGATTTTTTATTTATTTATTTGAGAGAGAGAGAACACGAGATGGGGGAGGGTCAGAGGGAGAAGCAGACTCTCTGCTGAGCAGGGAGCCCAATGTGGGACTCAATCCTGGGACTCCAGGATCATGACCTGAGCCCAAGGCAGTCGCTTAACCAACTGAGTCACCCAGGTGCCCACTCCAGCATTTTTATGGTTACTTTTTGCATCATATATCTTGTTCCATCTTTTACTTTTACCTATTTGTATCTTTGAATCTAAAGTGTGTTTCTTGTATAGGACATGTAATTGGATCATGCTTTTTAAATCCTGTCTGACATTGTGCCTTTTGATTGGGGTGTTTATTAGTCCATTTATATTTAATATAATTATTAATACGGTTGAATTTTACTCTTTTTTCCCCCTGTTTTTCATGTCTTTTTGTTCTTATCCTTTATTCTCTTTTTTGTATTAAATATTTTGTAGTGTACTATTTTAATTCCTCTGTTGATTTTTTTAATGATATATTTTGAGTTATTTTCTTAGAGGTTGCTGTATGGATTATAATCTGTATCTTAATGTCTTAGTCTACTCTAGGTCAATGCTGATGTAGTTTTGGTAGAATATATAGTAGTGGTTTTGCTTCAGCTTAGCTCCATTTCTTTCTTCCTTTTTTGTTCTATTTTTGTCATATATCTATATATTTTATAAACCCAACAATACAGTATTATAATCATTTCTTTTAAAAATTTTCTTTTAGTGAAATTAAAAGAAGAAAAGAGAAATATTTATTTAGTCTTTTATATTTCACATATAATTACTATTTCTTATGCTTTTCATTTCTTTCTGTGAATTCAAGTTAGTTTCTGTGGTCATTTCCTTTCTGGCTTCCTTTAGGATTTTTTTCAAGGCAGATCTGGTAGCAAGGAATTCTCAGTCTTCGTTTATCAGGAAATGTATTTACTTCATTTTCATTTTTATAACTTTTTTTTTTTTTAAAGATTTTATTTATTTATTTGAGACAGAGAGAATGAGAGACAGAGAGCATGAGAGGGAGGAGGGTCAGAGGGAGAAGCAGACTCCCTGCCGAGCAGGGAGCCCGATGCGGGACTCGATCCCGGGACTCCAGGATCATGACCTGAGCCGAAGGCAGTCGCTTACCCGACTGAGCCACCCAGGCGCCCCACTTCATTTTCCTTTTTAAAGGATAGTCATAGCTAAAGATTGGTCCAAGGTTTGTGCTCAAACTTAAGCCAGTAAGGTTTCCACCCTTTGTCAGTGGATTTGTGTGTGAGCTATGGAATACATTAAAAATTCAGGCAGTTTTCAAAACAGGTTGAGCTTTTAACTTTCTGCCAGGGCTTCTACTGTGTGTGTGCCTGCTTCCTCCTCGTCAGCCAGGGATGTGTGGAGTGCTTAGGCCCTTTAGGGTGTCCTACTGCATGAGTACACAGCCTCAGTCAGCTAGGGATGTGCAAAGAGCTATTGGGCCCTTCTGTAGGTCTCTTATTTCAATACTTTCTCTTAAATTTCTGGTTAGTCCTCCAGGAGAGCTGGATTATTTCCCTCTTTGTTTATTTGTTTGTCCTTCCTTCATCTGGAGTTTTCTACTTTTCCTAATAACGCCACTCATGTTGGCTTCTAATGGTGGGGAAGCTGCTTGTTTTCATGACAAGCCAGTATAACCAGTGGGAGGGAGGGGAAATGGAGGGTGGGTGAAGTTGGAGGGTTGATGGAGGTAGCCCCAGGCAAGAACACCACAGAGTTCCATTGTTCAGCAGTTTTCATGAATAAACACTTTTCAATTTGTTCTCCTTTGGTCTATTTCCAGAGCCCTAAAATGATTGTTTGGGACAGTTTAGTTTATATTTGTTTTTTGGGTAGAAGATTTGCTAAGCTCTTTCCTGTGCCATAGTTGGAAGTTTAGACTTAGGTATTTTATTTTATAAGATGATTGTTTTGGCATTGATATGATCATTTTGTATTTTATTTTTTGCATAGTGAATTTCATTGGTAGATTTTCTAGGTTTTCTCTATTCTTGGAATAAAATCTTTTTTGATTGTAATTTATTAAGTCCTTTAATGCATATATTAATTTTGAATAATTTGACATTTTCCCATTGATGTTTTTATTGAAACTTAATACTGGGTTTGTCTTAATGTACTATGAAAACTAATTCAGTCTAAAAATTTTACCTGAGGAATTCATCTGTGGCCCTAAAGAAGATTGAGCTAAAGATGATACAATTCCTTTTACAGGCATTATCCTGCACTGAAAACTCTGGAACATCTAGAGCATACCTATCTGCCTCAAGTAAGCCACTATCGATTCTGCAAGGTGATGGTGGACAACATCCCCAAGCTTCGAGAAGAAATTAAGGATGTTTCTATGTCTGATCTCAAAGACTTTCTGGAGAGTATCCGCAAACATTCAGACAAAATTGGAGAGACTGCCATGAAGCAAGTAGGTCTTGGGTTTACGATAGGTTGGCCAATGACTTTGCTAGTATTCTGTTAAACATGGGTTTCTCTCTGCTAAATGTCTTAATTGTTTCATGTCATTTTAGGGAAGTCCTTCCTCTTTATGGGAACACATGATTAAAAGATGTGTTTTATTTTTTTAACAGAGCAATGAATTATTTACTAGTATATTGCTTTGCTCTGTGGATGTTCAGTAAATATGGATCGATTGTGATAGTTATATAGGGACTTTAAAGAGGTTTTTCTATTTTTTGAATATTTTCCTTGACTTTGGATATGATTTGAAGCCCAAGATTTTTAAAAGGTCTCTTTCTAGGTAATGAGCTAACTTGTGCTATAGGTACCTTTGGTTGATTACTTATTATGTAAGCAAGATGTCATGTTATTTATAAATATTTCTGTAGTTATTATTTCTGGTATCAATGGGTATCAGTGAAGAAAGTCCTTTTGGGAAATAATGTGAATTATGATCACAGAAAGGGATTTATTTACAGCTTATAAGTTAACAAATGTGTTAAAAATTTTTAGGTTTTTTTTTCCTTTTAATATCTTCATCTCTAAGTAATGAAAGCCACCAAGGAATGTCTTGATTTCTTTCTCATCATTTTGAATAAAAGAGCGCTAATGATTTGCAGTGCTGCTTGCTCTTAAAATTTAAATCACATTGATTTTATTAAAATATCTCAGTATATCTTATGATGTAGCCTACAACAACAAAGAAGACTTGGTTGTTTATGGAAAGTGTTTGGTTCTACAAATAACTATGTTCTTGAAGAAGTCATTTGTAGTTCTTATTATGGGAAGAAGGAGGGAGCACATCATATTTTTGATCTCAGCAAGTCTTGGTAATCTTTCAGATGTCTGATTCTGCAGAAGAGATTTGTCTATTGGAAATTTCTTTCCTAAAGCAATGCAGACATCTTTTCCCCTCTCTTTTAAATTTTGTCAATGTTATACTTTATAATGGGGAATATTTAAAACTAGTTGATGATAATCCTGATGGAAATAATCATATCATGTCATTTTTTAGTGGTGAAGAAACAAAATTAATCATTGAAAATATATCTTTGTATTACTGGGTATATATTTTGAGTACAGGACTGAAGGTATTCTGCAAGACAAGTCTCTATTGTGTTTGACAAGTTTTTTCTAAACTTTTAAAAATAGGAGAGTGTAGTACAGAGTCTGTGGAAGCATTCTTTTTTTAAAGTAACCTTTTTTTTTTTTAGGCCTCTGCTTGAGAAATTAATTTCAGTTCTTTTTTGGTGAAAGAGAGGATTCCATGAAAATACTATTATTTCACTTAATGTGGATTATCTGGTTTCACCTCTTAATTATTTAAAGAAATTCAGGCCCAAGGCAGGGAAGTGACTCACTCAAGTTGAGATGGCTTGTAAAGGTCAGATTCTGTGGTAGAATTCAGGTTAGATTGAGGTGAATTTGCCTACTATGGCACTCAGTCTGTGTAAACTATTAGCTATTTGGTATATTTGTGTCATATAAAGAACTGAAGAAAACCATTGTGGATTCAGGCCTTTTAATTAAACTGATAACCCTTCATTCTTCTTATAAAATTTCCTATCAGGTATAGCTCTTGTTGCATGTATTGTTATCCTATGCCATGTTAGTTGAGATCTTTGAATAAAAATATCTTAACACATTTTAAGATCTGTAGTACCTAAAAAATAAACAAAGTGGGAGGGAGAGAAATTACCATATACTTTGTACATAGTGGTTGTTCAATAAATATTTATTTGAATTCATGGATGTTGGAAAGAGGGAAAGGATATGATTTATTTTTCATTTATGTCAAGCCTGGAATGATGTTTCTGACTTGTGATGGTTTTCTTCATGTTGGTAATGTAGGGAATCTTTCCATTGTGTGGCTCTGTCAGTCTCTCCACACTCCATTTTAGTGTGGCTTTGAAGGTTACTTCAGAAGGAAAAAGGCCAGGGAGCATTGCTTGTGTTAGAGTTTTTAAGGGCTAATCATGGACACAACATATTATCACTTCTACTCACATATCTTTGGCCAGAACCTAATTACAGGTCAGCTTTACTGACCTGCAAGGGAGGTTGAGAAAATAAAATCTTACTCATCACTAAGAGGAGAAGCACTCGGGTTTGGTGAATAGTAGCTAGTCTCTGGCACAGTCTACCCTTTGGTCATCAAATATCTCTTCACTTTTCATGCTCCTTCCCAAGGAAGGCAACCCAATATCCCGTCTAGTTACTACATCCATTTCAAAATCTAGTATCTTCCAGGGATGCTCAAAACTCGCCATCAGATCCAGATGAGCCTCCAGATCCAGATGGGCTGCTGACCAGGAAAGAAGATGACAAGTTATCTACACCTGTGTTCCCTTCCACTTCCAATGAAGAAGCTAGAATAGAATAACTACAACAAAAACTTGAATTTAAAAATGGGAACAGTGGGAGATGAACAGTATTTCCTGCTTCATAAGCAAATCATGTAATCCTTTTGGGTCATCATTGGGGAATCCTTCTCCCTTGGTAGTAGTGGGTCTTTCTTGCTTAGACATTAACTCTCTGAGAGGAACTCCTTTGCCTGTAGTTCTCCTGGGCTCCTGGTTGCACCCTGTTTTTTCTTTCTCTATTTTTTTCCTTTTCAGAAAGAAGTGGATGCTGGGGAATATATCTTCCTTAGGTGATCTGTCTTTCTCATTTTCTTTCTCTCTTTATATTTCTAGATATCTACATGTACATCTATAACTATATCTGTATACATACACCCGTCTACATATATAATATATGTAGATATGTATCTTTGACTGCCTGCTTTCTGCTTCTGCAAATTTAGGGACCCAAAGGTTGTTTTAAGTCTCTGAACAGCCAAAGGTTTATTTAGTCCAGATTTGTGATTTTTGGGCATTATAGTTAGCTCAAAACTTAGGAGGCCTCTGATCTGTTTCTTTCCCATAGGTTCTATGTGGACACCAAACCCAATGTTCTTTTCTAGCTATAATTTTGAGGAATAGTTTTTTTTTTCTTCTCCCCAGTTTGCGAAGGTAGGCCTTGTCTCATGCCTTTCTTACTTTAATGGCCCTACTTTGAAGCTGTATGAAATAATGGGTAAGAGGACCACACCTGAATTTGATCTTTGCTTCAGGATTGAGTCACTTTGTTCAACTAGAAGTATTATTTGGAATTTATTGCTCAAACTTTTACCATTCTTTTACCGTTGGGATTCTATATGCGTTCAGCCTTCTAACCCTCTGAGGCCCAAGTGTGTCTGGACTTCCTCTATTTCCTATAATTTCTTTTTTTTTTTTTTAAAGATTTTATTTATTTATTTGAGAGAGAGAATGAGAGACAGCACAAGAGGGAAGAGGGTCAGAGGGAGAAGCAGACCCCCCGCTGAGCAGGGAGCCCAATGCGGGACTCGATCCCGGGACTCCAGGATCATGACCTGAGCCGAAGGCAGTTGCTTAACCAACTGAGCCACCCAGGCGCCCCTCCTATAATTTCATTTAGCAAACCAGCAACTTCTTTTTTGTGCCTCTTTTCTATAATACCTTGCTAGAAATAGAAAGTAAATGCTGATATATATTATAACCCTGACTCTCCATTCAGTTACAGAGCTACAGGCCCCATAGCCATGTGGTGTGCCTTTTCATTTATTACAGGTTCCAGTTTTACCAGTTCTTTTGCCACAGTATTACAGGGTTCTCCAGGCTTTCAGCTTGTTAAATATATATTCTTGCTGCCTATTGCCTGACTTCTCAACCAATGCCATTTCTTTTAGTTTTTTATTTTTTGTTAAGGCAAAACCATTCTTCCAATACCAGTTTCTGTTTTCCCTGAATAATGCTGCTTGTTGTAAGAGCTAAGCTCTAAAATCTCACCATAGAAGTTTCATTTTTCCTCATTGGAAGTCCAAAATGGATCTTCCTGGTAGGGTCGCTCTTCTTTAAGTGACCATCAAGGGATCCAAGACTCTTCTGACTTGTGGCTTTATCACTTCCAACATTATATCAGTAGGAAAAAGAGTAAATAAGACCCTGGGGATTTCTATGGACCAGGCTTGTAAGTGATACGTATCACTGCTGTCAACATTACATTGGCCATACCTTATACACTGCAGGTGAGGCTTGGATATATAGTCTGTCTGACTGGGAGGAACAAGAAATAGGTTTGGTGAATAGCTAGCTAGCCTCTGCTACAACCTACTATTATACAGCCTCGGAAAAAACATATCTTCCATTCTCTTGCCTTTTTTCTTCACAATACATATCTTCCATGTCGCTTGCCTGTTTCCCCCCCACAATTTCATCTCTTTGCCATTCCCCGTCCCGCATATGTTTGCCTTCTGATTTACTAATTCAATTTTTAGCATTGTCAATTCTGCTATTCAGAACTTTGTTATCATTATTATTTTTAGTTTAGCAGCCTGTGAAACCACAGGTTTGCCTTTAGAAATTTGTTCTTGTCCTTTTTTTAAAAAAAATATTCTAAGTTGTTTTCTTGAGAACCATATGAGAAAATAGGTTTGAAAGTCTTATTGATACTGATAATTGGTCTGGGCTCTTCTAGAAATTAGGTAGGTGATTGTGCTTTTTCATGGTGGACATTTCCCTTTGTCTTCTACCCACGTATCCTGAGTTGCTACATTGATCTCTGGGTGGACTTTGTCCTTGGTACTGTGCAGTGATGGAAGAATTGGTAGATTGGTTTCTTTTGAGGATATAACAGCCAAAACAAACTACCAGAAGGGCTCCACCCTGATTAAACTTTAATGAGCAAATTAGGCTCTAAACTTTTAGCTGTTATTATAATCCCAAACTGTTTGTTGTCCCATTTTATCAAAAGATATGTTGCAAAAAATACTATTTGAGGATGATCTGAAGGATATGTAGTTTATCCATTCCTCTGTATTTAAAGTGGTATGTTGTCTCTGGATAAAGCTTTATCAGCAGGTAGCTCTTTGCTTTGATCGCATGTGGTAGGCAGAATTCTAGGATG